TATATTTTAATTTCTATTTCTATTTGTATTTTGTATTTGTATTTGTATTTGTATACGTATTTCTAATTTTTTTTAGAATGATAAAATCATCTATTTTTGGTTTTGTTATCCTTTTCAGAGTCCTCGGGGATTCATCAAGTCGCACACGTCCCATACTCTCCTTGGATGCCGAGTCGCCCTCGCCTGTCGCACCGCCAGATTATTTGACAATATTAACGAATCCTTCTGGCTCTGGGGCTACCGTTCCTGCTCCAGCCGATGGCAATAGCAGTCCGGAGTCTATTGAGATAGGCCAGCGTCCAAGTGGCTATGCGCAGCGATCGCAGTCTCTGGGTCGGAAAGTCCAGATGGCTTCCGCGTCTGCCTCGGCCCCGACGACGGCTACACTGGAGCGTGGTAACAGCGGTAATTTTATTCAACGCCCCTATACCGCCGAGGATGTGGTCACCATACTACGTTCCTCGGTGAGGCATCGACCGCCGTCCCGGCAAGTTGCTGGCCCGTTGGCCACAACGTTGCCTCGTCCACCTGCCATGTCCACGCACCTGGAGGATGCATCGTTTCGTTCGATTGAGAATCTGGTGCTCAATGCAGAGCCGCCGGACCAAACGCCCGGCGTTGGCGTTGGTGTGGGCGACGCGGAACAACATAATAATAATACATCTGTGATTTAATGACTAATATATATCGTATCGTATCATGTCGAACCGTACCGTACCGTAAGGTACATATATTAGATATATATTAAATACATACATATAGACTATTCTACTGAGAATCACATATCTGCTTGCTTTCTTAGACTTGATTAGCGCTAGTTCAATACGAATAATAATTTGTAGCTATGTCGAATAATTATGTAATAATAGAATACAAATTAGTATTTGACGAAAACAACATATGATAATAAAAAACAAAAACAAAATGTTATTTTCTTTAATTAAGGAGAGGGCAACTGTTAGCTTGATTTTGTACATACATAAATATAAACAGGAACTCACTTCTATATAAGCCGCAAAAATTGTAAGTAAACATACATACATGCAGAAATCCAAGCACATACACACATTTCCCCTTTATTTTTGAATTCATGCATTCATCCTCACACATATATATAAATATGCATCATATGACCCACACATGCATTCAAAAACGGTTATTATTGTTACGCATTCAATACTTATGTGTGTGCGTGTATGACCCTGCATTGCCTGGACCAAAATCGTTATTCATATATTTTATGAATATTGTCAGTTTTAGCTACTTTTCTGGCAAAATAATCATTCCAATTGGATTCACAAACTACCCTCTTCGCAACAATAAGTCATGATTAAAGAGAACCAGATCTCCGATCTGATGACAATAGGTGTAGCCTACGTGCCTGGTGGCTAAGCGCGGCGCTTTTGCGCAGTTCGGAGCGTAAATTTAATCCGATTAATAACCCTGACCAGACAAATTAAAAAAAATTTTTTTCTTTTTTTTTTGTAACGGAAACGCACATAAAGTAGAAAAGATGAAGAGGAAGTAATACGTTGCAAGTTCAAGAGGAATATCCTTTGCATGCGTGTCAGCAAATTTTACCTACAATTTTTTTGTTTTTGACTGTCATTTTAATACTTTTCTTTACCTAATGCTCAATAATTTTAAATAGTCACGTTCCCGCCAATTAGAGTTGCCAGAGTGTCGAATTGTAAAATAAATCTCACGGTATGTAATAAAAGTGTAATAAATTATTATAATTATTCACCTAGAGCACAAATTAAAATTATTAGTTCAGTTTAATTCAGTAAAACTTTTGATTTAGTCAACGTTGCTTGAACTACTTTTTACTTTACGGGATTACCAACAAGGTGGCAGCAATATGCTCTATCGTGAATATCAGAAATCTACGTTAACAGTGAGGTTCACCTCTTAACAGTTGCTTGAATTTTATCAACAGTTTACATGTTGCTAGAGCGCATACAGGGTGAACGAATGTTGCTGTATGTAAAAATTGAGCAGCATGTTCCGCTTTTCGCTCTTATTTTTGAGAGCGCGCTCGTTTTTGTGCTCTCAACAACGTTTTTCTCTCTCCAACTTTAACAGCATCTGTTAAATGTAAAGTAAAATGGTTATAGCAGCTGTAAACATCTTGTTATTGTGGAATTAGTCGTTGAAGCGTACGGTCGATTACGTGGTTGTGAGCGAGTTTAAACCACATACGAGGCTTAAGTGCAAAGAATCGAAAATAAATTAAATTGAAAACGAAAAATAAAAACTTTTAAACGCGCCAAACGGCAAGCTGTTGTGAATGAAACCTTGCTTGAATGCATTTAATAAAGGAGCGCAAGGGTCTTAAATGCAACTCAATGAAACACTAAATTCTGTTGTTTGTTGTGCAAAAACGTTTTTGTAGCATTGCCGCTAACAACAACCCAATCGTCGACGCCGCCGTCGCAGTCGCTGTCGGCAGTCTCAGTCGAAATCGCAGGTCGACTTCGTCGTCAAAAAAGTGCTCAAACAAGATTTCCACTTGAAATTCCTGAATTTCGTTCGCGACGCGCAGCAAAAACAAAATAAAAGAAGCAATATATAAATGGAAATATAGAAGCGCAATACAAATACAAATTTAAATAAATACCTAAATTTCTGCAAATGCAGACAGCATTTTGAATGTGTTTATAACGGTGTCTGCCTACAATCAATGTATATGCGTGCATGTGTGTGTCATAATTTTGTGCAGTTTGGAAACACTTTTGGATTAGCGGCGCTTTTATTTACATAGACTTTGCACGACTAATTGGTAAGTGTGGCCATCTTTGCGTTTGTTCAGACTCCATTTGTAGGTGTTAAAGCAGAGCAAAAGCAATAGAGAGAAGTAGACACAATAATAACAACAACAGCAATTTGTAGTAGTTTTTTTGTATTAGCATTTTTATGTCGCCGTTTGGCTAGTTGACAAACAAACTTGCAGTGAGAGACAGAGAGGAAAAAAGAGAGGGAGAGAGAGAGAGAGTGAGAGGGAAAGAGAAAGAGAGTCGCACGCACACAATACACAAAGGATTTCGGAACGTTTGGGTGGGACGCTAAACTAACCCTCTGCCGCTGCCGCTGCTGCGCTCTGTCATGCTGTGCCGTTCTCTCGCTCTATCTTATGCTGATTTTCTTACTCTCTTACACTCAGCGCCGAGTACTGTGCTACTGAAATTCGCAGCTTTTGCGTCGCTGCTTATGCATGCGTGTGAGAGTGTGTGTCTTGTTTTTATTTATTTTGATGGCGTATTTCGGCATTTTGCTTTGTCAGAGCAGAGCACGTATGTGTGTGAGTGTGCATGTATGTTTATGTGTGTGTTTAGTTTTCTTCTGCATTAAAATGAATTCGCAATAAATATTGCCTATGTCAAATAAAAGGACGATGAGCCAGCCTTTTTGCTCTATCTCTCTCTAATCTCGGGGGACACTAATGTTTTACGACAATTTGTGTGCCCACCAATACAAATACAAAACTTAATGCACACATCAACGGCAAATTAGATGTACATACTCGAAGGCAAATGTACTAATAACAATCATTGAGTGCCTCTCAGCCTCTCCATTCGAGTTTCTGTATGTATGTGTATGATTGTGTCATTCGTTGATTTGGCCATTGCTTCCAATACATTAAAGGAGAAGGGGCCTCTGCCCACTTAAGCATACTTCGAATGTCATTTGTTTGAATTCGTTTTGTTTTGTTTCTGTTTTAATTCTTGTCAACTGACAAATTTTTATTGTCTCTCCCACACCATTTCATTTGACGCACTAATCGCTTACTTAAAACTACACACTAAAGCTTAGACGTCGACGAAAGACGGAAACAAGTGTAAATAAACAAAACAACTTATGCTCATAAAACATACTTCATTCACGCACATACACACACATGCAGACAGACAACAATAAAAAATAAAAAAAATAAATAAATAAATAAAATATATATATATATC